ATGCCCAAACCAGTGTCCTTTACAACCTGTGCTGACTGTATCTGTGTGGTGAATATGGCAATTCCATCCTGGAGAAAGGTGGCTTTATGAATTTAGGCAGTATCACAGCTACTTGTTAAGTTTTATTTTAAGCCAGTGTTGATACCTGGATTTGTGACTTGGTGATAGAGATATGGGAATAGGAGGTAAAAGAGTTGGGAGAAAGAGAAGTGAAACTTTTCCCGTGTTTAAAGAAGCTTTCCTCGAGTGCTTTAGAGCTGTGGGGAAAAAAGGTGGTACCTACACCACTGAAACTAATTCCACAAAATGTGTTCCAGCTCTGGGAAAAATGGTAGGAGGTGAAGTCCTGGAAAGTTTGTCATAAAAGCAGAACACTTCTGCAGAAGAGCTGATTTCTTGCCGTTCTTATCTCTCTGGACACACAGATGTCAGTGTTCAAGAGTAACCTTACGTTGTTGTGGCAAAATAAAATGCTTGCACTGATAGATGGAGCCCTGGTAGTGTGCATGCCTGACTTACAAGGAACGGAGGGGTGATGTTATGCTGAGTTTGTAGGAGTAGCCACAAGGAACAGCACAGGCTACAAAAGCCTGAGCTTTGGGACACTTGTGTGCCGAGTCTGGAATAGGTATGGTGATTTGAGCATTAGTCTACATCTTTTAACTTGCTGTCTTAAAGGAGTGTTATTTGAGGATATGAAACTATAAAACTACTGTTGGGATCAACTCTACCCTGGCAATACCTTTATACCAAATATAAAGATTACTTCTATCACAGGAACTCTGTAAACGGAAATAAAGTTCATTGAAAGGAGGGTACCGATGTTGAAAGCTTAAGCTGAAAATGAAGTTGCATAAGCAGCAAAATATCAAGAAAGCTTTGAAAAGCCTTTGACTTCTCAGGATGGTTGAGGGGAAGGAAAATGGTTCTTCAGTTTAATCAAGTTGTAATGCTTTAGCCAATTGCAGCAAGGAAATGGTCTCAGAGTCTGCATGTTCCTTCACTCTATCTACATATACAGTAAGTTGTCTGTGACTGCTCTGCAGGGAAACAACAACTTGTTGGCCTTGGCACCTTCCTTGTAGCGTGTATTTCAAGGTCACTTAGCTCTGTTTCTGTTGACTTTCACTGTACCAGGGAATCTAAGAGGACATATCTTGTTCAAGTGTTCTGCTAAACTCCAAATTTCTACCGTTTAGTATAGCTGCCCAAATTTCTGAAGTCTGAATACTCAGGCTTTACTCTCTCTCCATTTTGGGGGATGTTTCGATACAGCATTTCAGAAGGAAGTCAGGGGCTGAAATTAGAAGTCTGTTCAGGCAAGTTTCTGTTGTCACAGAACTCTGCTGAAGCAGCCTTTCTCATGTAGGGTGGTCGTTCAGTTGGGACTAAGCTGGAGCCAAATGACTTAAATAGTAGGTTCTCCTACTGTTGGGACATGAGTTTTTGGAAGTAGAAACCAGGAATACCTACCGAGGGTTATTTTAATAGTGATGTGTGTTTGGCCTTTGGAATTCTCTAGCTACCAGAAATAAACTTGTTAAACAGCTTATGCAGCTTATGACAGTAGTGTTGCACATCTGAGCTGTTCTGGTGACTTGGAAATCTGAATGTGAGTAGTTTGCATAGTCCTGTACACACTTACTTAACTGGCACCTTTCACAACAAAGTGCTGCCATTTGAAGTATCTTTCACTGTAAAGCTAGAGTTCTAAATTTTTTTTAAAGTTTTTCTTACCCTGCTAAATTGGTGAGAGCCTGAAATGCCCAGTACATCTAGCCTGTTGCATGTTAATTTTATTGACTTGTGCCCTCTGAAGAAAGATATGCCAGCACAGATATCTTGCTTAGTGAAAGCATGAGCTGGATGTTTTACCAGAAGCCCTTAACCAGCTTTATGCAAGCCTCTGCCCATTCAAACCTTTCTCTTAGGAAGAAGCTGAGGAAAAAGCACCAAATCATATAAAAACATTCAGAAAAGAAGGGTGGTTTCTTTTTTCTGAAAGAGCTTTAGTGCATATACCCTGTGGGAGACTTGAGGTTGAATGAACTCAGAGGGTTCACCCTGGGATAACTGTGGAAACTAGATAGGCAAAGCATATGACATAAGTGTGACTGCTGCCTGTTGTAGAAGACCTAAAAAAGCTGTGAAATGGAGTTGTTTGGTGTGCAATAAACCAGTATAACAACACGGGTACAGTTAAGTCTTTAGCACTGTATCATTCCAGAAGAGTCAGTAAATTTTTTTAAAAGCAGGCTTCTTTTCCTTTTTATGAGAGTAAATGTTAGTGACACAAAGCTTGAATTCTAGAAAAGTGTATCCTCACCTAAACAGAAAAACTTAACCCCAGGAAGGGCTAGCAAGGACTACAGTTTGATGCTTGCTTACAATCTCTGTCCTGAATGTGTGATCTTTTATTCCTGTGTGGTTACTTGGCAGGGTTAGTTGAGCTAGGATACAAGAACATAAGAGAAGAGCCATGGCTTTCAGATTCTTTAGGGACCTGAGCTGGCTGCAGGGGCACAAGCTTTCATGTTAAAGCCTTCTGAACTGAGAGTGCTGTGACTTGTTCCCACACCTGTGTGTATTCTTCAGTGTACTTGCATTAACCAATGTTTGGAGTTGATGCAACTGCTCAGAGGTGTGGTGCCAGTGTAAGTACCTGTCCTGGACTGCAGTGATAGAGAAATGGTTGCTGTCTGAAACTGAACAGCTAGGTTGAATTATGTACAGTCTGATCACTGGCAAATTTCCTGTTTTTCTTTAAGTGATATAATTCAAACCTCCTGCTGCAAGTGATAAAAAGAAAAGCCCTTTAAAGGGTAAAAAAAAAAACCAAACCCTTTGTGCCTTATCTTGCTGTATGAAATGCTGTGTTATTTTTGTGATCTGGCAGTCACTAAGTAGTAACTTTGGGGCAAACTTGGTGGGTGTCCTTGACTGAGTCTGTTTTCCATTTTTACAGGGTTGGAGTGTTGGAGGACACCTTCACCTGTCTTGGTGTTTTGTGTGCCATTGTATTCTTTCCAATTGGGATTCTGTTCTGCCTTGCACTGAGGCAGAGAAGATGCCCTAATTGTGGGGCAGCTTTTGGCTAAGGGGATGAATGTGGACACGCTTATGGAAGCTACAACTGTTAGCATACTCTTTCTAATGTAAATGTCATGTACAATCATTTTATTTGCTTCAGACCTGTTTTGTAAAGTGTGAAAAAATTCAGTCTCTTGCATGTAGTTTAAACTTAATCTTTTATGAGCATGTGCATTGCAAAACATGAAAACCCAACTTGTTTTCCATGTTTAGTGGCACCTGTTGACAACAAATAAAACTGCTTTTCCTTTTGCAATTCTCAACTTGTGGCTGGATTATTAAGTGACTAATGTGTCTGACAACATGTAAAGTGGAGTTAGGTTAATCCTAGCTACAACAGAGGATAAACATTTGCCAGAATCCTTATAAAGAGAGACATGGTTTAGGGCTGTAGAAAAAGAAGCTGTGGCTCTACCAAGTAAAAGCTGTTCTGAGTAAGGATCTCTGCATTTCAGATGTAGTTCTGATAACTCAATTATTAAAAGCTTGTACAGTCTAGACTGATTTGCCTCTAACACACTTTAGAAAATGGGCTCAGGTATAAGTTATACTTCTGAAAAATCAGTGTTTCAAAATAGAATAATAGTAGTGATGTAAGGTTCCATAGCAAAGGCAGTGTCCCCAGCCTTGGAGTTGAGAGGAAGAGGTGGAATAAAGGGACTCTACCTCTGTAGCCAGCCCATGCTCATATACTGTTTTTTGATATTAAGTAACTAAAAGGCATTTCACATGACTTGTTGAATTCACTGTTCATAGTAGTAGAAACATGCACAACAAAATGAACATCTGTGGGATGCTGTAGGAAATATGTACCTATGGGAAAGAGAATGATTAATCACCATCAGTAATGATGATATAGACTTTAGCCAGTGGGTGGGAAGTCACCTGAACTTTACAGTGACAGAAGCACCCCATGGTGATGCAGAGGGAAGGGTCTGTTCCTAACATTCTAGGCTAATTTCTCCTACAGTAGTGATCATCTCAGAGGTCTTTTTAGGCAAGCTAGCTCCATTGGATTTGGGAAATCTGATCCTGAGGCAACAAACTGTGCAACTCTGCCTGTGACTAAAGTTAAAAGCGGTATTTCACTTAACTCAGATACACTGTACTGTGCCAGCATTTATGCCATGGCTAGGTTCCTTAAAAAATTGCAGAAGTTTTTTTGGGGAAGGCTATAGTACTAGAGTAAAACTTCAAAGACAGCTTTTTGTACTAGCATTTGAAGACAATCATGGCACTGTTTCATGATGACTTTTTGTAAGACTAAAGTTTGACAATGTGTTTTAAAGAAAAAAAATCATTGAAGGATGTATTGACAGTACAACATTAGAGTTAATAGGTTTGTGTTAACACTTGAAAATTTCTATCTGAACATCAAGCAACACCTTACAAATTGTCTATTCTTAAAGGATAAATATTTATTTATTATCTAGGGTGTCTTAAACAAAATAATGTATCATCACTTTATACAGGCAATTCTCTATTCTGGAATAAGGCAGCTGTTCCATTGTTCTGTTCGGAAGAAGAAAAAGATTACTTTCTTATTTAGCAGGCTTATGTTTTAGAACTTACCACTGCAGTTTCCAAATAACAAGTGCCAAGGATTCAGATTTGTAAGCTATAAGTAAGTTACACTGGTTTACTAGAGTATCCAAACTATCTCTAGTATTTTTACAGTTCCTACTACAAAAAAGGCATACTGTAATACCAAGCCAAAGTGCTCAAACATTAGCCCAAAGCAGTTAACTCATTAGAAAGAATAGGTTTTTAAAAAAACAGAATCCATTCTAGTATGATTCTATTGTACAGTAATTAAATTTAAATAAATCTTTAGAACAAGTTTAGATAGTGTTTTTCATTACTGAAAATGGTGTTTATAAGGAGGAAGTACATGTGTGTGGACTGTATGTTCATCGAATAATGGGTGCTGATCTGTCATTTGTTACTGTTGGTCTGAGTTTCACAGTTGCAAAAGGATTTTCTCCACTGAAAAGAAATGCACAAAGTTAGTGGGAGGCTTGCTGCAATACAGAACCAAAGTTAAGCCATGCAGTTTCTTCATCCAAGTTCTTTGAAGACTTAAGTTACATTTCTAAGTTACATTTTTAGACTGAAGGATTCTGTGCAACTCCTAGTTCAACTTGTGTTTTTAAAACAAGCCTACATATGAAGACTTGCTTTGCAGTGATCCAAACTTGGGAAGTTAATGCTCAGTTAGAATTGGACTTTTTTTTAAACAGCTCCCAGTCAAATATTTTTGTTTTTAACGCTCAGAGACATAGTTTACATCCTGCTGCCTGTCAAACTACTGGAGAAACACTTATTTTTGCGGAGGGCCTGTGCATTGTATGTCACTTGATGCCACTCTTGAGAAAAGTGCAACCAATTTTAGCTGTATGTTGTACCAGTGCCTAGGAAAGGTCACAGTAATTCAGGAAAACATCCTTATTTCCCCTCACAATCAATACAATAATATAAGGCAATATAAAAATCAACACAACTTAAGTAGTGTAAAAGCTTTAAAAATGATACCTTAGAAAAGGTGGTTTTATAATGCCATTCATATCAGGTTTCTGTAAAAGAAAAAGATACTTACAAAGACATGCTACAGGTGATCTCACTATCCTAAGGAAAACAGACCCTATCATTCAAGACTGCTAAAATATTCAGCCATTTAGACTAATTATTGTGTGGTTCAGTTGAACTGTGAAGAAGTAGTTGCGGAGGGGAGAACTACCTCAGGTCATCAAAATTAGAAAGTTAAATGGCTTTAGCATTATCTGGGGTATTTTTTGGTGGTGTCATGTCCATGTCCCCCCCCCATTTAAGGTCAGTGATCACCTGAAGTCTAGCTGGGCATTTCATGGGTTAAAATAGCAAATGAAGTGTCACTGCAACAGCCATCAACCACAATCAAAAGGATGGAACTACTTGCAGCACAGATATCATACCATACTGTTTCTATAGCATAATTTGTAAACTGCTGTTATCACAGCAAAATGCCAAAAGTAGGCTTGGAGCAGATCTTGCAGAGTAAAGATGGAACAGTCAGTGTATCTTTATGTAACTGTAAAGTCATGAAGTTAAAAAAAGCAGCAACCAGCATAATGACATATTAAAATATTAAAAGCCTGAAGTAAGGGCAAATTTCAGATCTAGAGGTTTTTTTTATACAAGCTACCGTGTTTAGCTGTTGTTGATTTACAAAGTACAAGTTCACATATGTCCTGTGACTTCTGCAACTAGTGGTTGTGAGTCAAAAAAGCAAGAAAGCAGCTCATGGCATGTACATGCATAATTTGCATTGTTTGTAGGGGAGTGATACAAAAGGGGGAATAGTTTTGCATAGCTACTGCTAAGATTTCATTATAACGAAACTGTCACGTCTAAGTGTGCAATCAGAAAAGGCTTGTTTTTTACAGCTACGGTTTGCAGTGTACTTCTGTGATGAAGTGCACTTCATTCTGGTGAAGTTCAGATAGCCCAAAGGTGGCAGAGTCGCTCTGTCACGGTGCTGCTACAGGATGCAGTACTTCAGGTGCGGTAAAATGGGGAACTGTTGCAAAAGTATTACCCTTTACTAGCCTGTAATGCTACATGGAAGTTTGGGCAAACAGTTAATTTCTACTCCCCCACTCCCCCCCTTTTTACTAATAATCATACTTAATGACATATTTCAAACTGCAAAACTACTCGCATTGCTTCTAATAGGTGCCAGGTAGCATTCAAAGTGAAAATGTAAATAGACATCCTTGCACTCTTGCACTTAGAAGCAGGAATATACAGTCGCCTTTTATCAAACAGCTTGACTTGTACTAATCATTCAGTCTATGTGGCCATTTTAATACTTAAAATTTCACTGTTGAACAACAGCCTGTAAGTCTTTCCTTTTCAGCTACCCTGTCTGTTGTACCAGCAGTTCCTAGCTACCATATTCACAATACCATGACGCAGATGAAGAAATCTGTTTATTCAAGACCTACATCAGCAGGATACTTAAGCATGTGCTTAACTTGTGATTCCAATGAAATTGCTCATGTACATAAGTCATAAATAGACTTAGACCTTAGAATTAGGCTTAATTAGCCCCTAAAATTAATTAGAACGAATGCCTGAATTACACGCCACTTCTTACTGAACACCAACTCTCAAAGCTCTGTCAACTACTGTCTTTTTCAGTTGATATTATTCTGCATAGTACTGTCCTACATAACACAGCATCAACAATTTAACTTCCTTATCTTTCCGTCTTGAAATCCCAACCTATTTTTCTTGTGTATTCTGAAACAAAAATAAGATGCCTTAATGAATCATTTCCTGCTTCTGCATAAAAGACACCAAGCATACTGTTTTACATGTATGTATATTCTGGACGAGTCTACAAGCCAGCCTGGTATAGTGTTGGGCTTATTTCCAAAGCCTTACAGTGGTGTGGGGGTTGGCAACTGCACAGAAGCAGGAAAGACAAAGAAGCTCTGCAACTTTCCAAAAGAATGAATGTAAATAGTGACTTCGGAGCAAAACGCTTGGGTGCAAGTCCAGCGTCTCTCCTTTACGGTTCTCTTCCTTATTTTGTGTGGTAACAGGTAAGAAGAATCATGGGCTTACAGTAAAAAGGTAGCTGCTATGAGTTACAGGTTACCTCAACAAGAATAGTTACTTTATACTCCAGAATTCATCTTTTTAATCCTGATTTCCCTGTGGAAATTTAGAATCTCAAAAAAGATGTATTTGTTTTCCACTCCTAAGAGGCTACAAGCTTCCATTCTGGCCTCAAAAGAGAATATACTGTTCTAATTAGAATTCTGTCCTAGTCTGTCAGCTAAGTGATCTGCCATTCCTCTTGGTTTTTCAGTTCAACAAGAATGTTAGTCCACAAGCCTTAAGTATTCCTAAACCCTCTCAACTAATACCACAGAACAACACAACCCTTAAGGTGGCTGCTCTTGAGAACCAACCGAGGACAGTTAGCTGTACTAAAGATAGCAGCACAGTACAGCGACACTGAGACAATTTACCAGGTTGGATAATTGTAAAGCTGTATAGTAAGTCACCTTTGACTTGTCACGGGGCAAGGAACTCGCTGCTTGCACGGCAACTTCCACAGGCCGATGGATCTTTTTTAACTATTGCGAACATAATTACCTGTGAAGGACACCTCGGTCCCACAGGTCCAACAGCTAGCCGTAGAATAAATGACCCAATGGATAAATCTGACATTGTATAGTTGTTACAGCTCATTGCTTCTTTGTCTAAAAATGAAACCCACAAATGTGTCAAAGTATAGATGTTCCCAGATTCTTAATTTGAAAGTGACTGAAGACTAAAATTTAGATCTTATTTCTTGATACTAATTTCATGCATTGGAAAAGCTTTATTCCTCGTAAAAAACCCACTGTCCTAGAAACACAGTATCACTGCACAAATGATGTGCTTCCTACAAAACAAGGTTGATTACTGAGAAAAAAATTACTTGAATGTGGGTTCACACACATATGTGGGTTAATGTGGATTAACAGTGTGGGTTAAATATATGCCAATATCAGACTGTTCTGACAAAAAAAGTCAGCTAATCTTTTAATAGGAGTATTTAGATTTTAAAAAAATAATATCCCAAAACATTGTTGTCTAGTCTAAATGGGGTAAGATCTCTGAGATGAGAGCTTCGTAAGTCCCTGTCAAGCAGCTTTCATCCTTTGTTATGAAAGACTCTTAGCTCTGCTTCTAGTTCTTCACGCATTTTAAGGAACAGAGATTTTTCTGTTACAGAAAGCATTCGCCGTTTTTCCCCTCTCTACAGAGAAAAGATACTTTTTGTTCCAATTTCTGCATCTGCAAGAGATACTTTGGCTGTAGTCCGCAGAAGTGTGTCTGTGTTGTATCTATAGCTGCTCTTCTGAAATAGCTGTAGAGTGGCTTTACAAAGCCAAGTACAACTGGAGGGAACATTTCCGGAAGGCCTGTATAGCTGAACCTCCAGCTATTTTTCACATTTTTAAATATTTGTAAAGTTGAGGTGACCCGTTCTTCTTTTAAGAACTAGATAAAAGTCTACGATATGATTACAAGAGCAATTTCTTTGAAGACACACTATTTGCTCAAGAAAGAAAAATTAATATAATTTCATTTTCTCCCATTTATTAAAGTTCTGTCTTTCTCCATGCTTCTGAAATGCAGATACTAGTTTAAAATCCAGATGTTACTGACAATATAATTTGTGTCATACTTGCATCTTTCCAATGGTAGGTTTTTTTCTAGAGTTCTAGAGTCATGTATTGGAAGTTATATTTTTGTTATTAAGTGAATGTTTCTGGTTTTACTTATTTTAAGTGTTACATTGACAAGCAATGAGAATGAAAAGACCCGTTAACCTCCTCCAATGCCTAATATCTCTAAGTAAAAAATACTGTGGACACACCTGACATCCTAATAGTAGACTTAAACGAAACAGAGGGAGAGGAGGCTTCTTTGAAGTCAACCATTGTTTCCTGATGCCTTTCCGTTTTACAGGAGCACCATTATAAATATTCTGTCATCCTTTGACCTTAAACGGACTCTTTCACCATTAATCAAAATATGATGCAACAAGCTTCAGTTTCTGCTTTTTGAGATCTTTTAGTTAATCTTACTTCTATCAAGTACAAATTTACAAAGGCCGCTTCAATTTCTACTGCATGATTCAATGGATTACTTAGAAAGCAAACATGTCAGAAGGACAACCCAAAATTTGCTTAGATGTTACATACTGATATACAAAATATTTTAGTTGAACTGATAAATAATAAAATGTAAATTTTTTGGCTATTGGCAGCCAACTATAGGATTCCTGACCTCTGAGAAGTTTGCTATGGTATCTACTGGTGGAACTTTGCGTCCTACTCTGTTACAGTCTCTCAATTTTAGCAGTGACAACCATACATATGTATGTATATACACATATATATACAAAAAAAAAAATCACAAAAGTTTTTTGCCATCAAGATGCGATTTCTGCTTCAGGAGGCTTTCTGAAGAAAGTCTCAAGAACATTTATCATTAGATACACATCAGCAAAATATTTATTTAAACAAGCAGCAAGAAATAGACTAGTAATTGCTTAATTTGATTAGTCTTCATTTTGAATCATTGTTTGAATGCTGACTTAATAGCAGAAATACTAGCTTTATATAGCACTATCTAGTCATAAAAATCTATTTCTACTCAGCTATGATTTTGCTGAGTATAGACATTAGTTAGTACATACATCCCTCAGCAACATCCACAAAAACAACACTAACTTTCATGGGGTTGTGTAAAGCATCCCTGAATACAGAATTTATGCTGCTTTAGATCCCCTGTCCCACTCTAGCTCTAAAAATCACTTAAGATGATGGATTTGTACTACTTCCTGCGAGAAATTCTTTTCATGTTTCACAGATTCCATTCCCGAGGAGTTTGCTATGCAGAGTAAGTCTCCTAGTACTCTTAGTTATATCATTCCTGAACAGTTCTTCTCCCTTCCTATTACTACAGATGGACTGAAATGCCAAAAAAAGTGATACTCCTGAAGACAGCTGCATCGAAGGGCCGCTGAAGTCAAGTACAGGTAGCTAAGGTAGAATATTCCAGGGCCTCATTTAAGAGCTCAGTTAAGTAGGTCAAGAAAAGCAAGCAGTGCAGAACATTTGGATTCATGGTGTTGATGACTTACCGGACCTGCACTTTCTGGCCTGTCAGTTGGTGTTTTAACAGTAGTACCTTTGGAGGACTCCATTCTTCTATCTGTTTGTAAAGACCCCAGATAGTCTGGTGGCGGGAGGACAACATCACCTTTTTCCACAAGATTTACAGAGCTAATACTTCGGATTGGTGCAGGGCTGCAAGACAGAACCCAATAAATAACATTTTCAGTTCCTATAATAAATCTGTCTTTTACCTTTAGCCCCAGGAAAGCACAAAAGTGCATGAGCTGAAGGTTATAAAAGTATACAATCCCACTGAAGTCAGTGGGACTCTAAATTCTAAAGTTGGGGTAAAGCTACTTCTTGGGTCTTTGTGTAACCATTAGAACATGTTAATGTGATCAAGGCATCATACCACCGACTATTAGAAAGTATTTACTGTGTATGTTGCTGAATAACTGAATGTGAGCAGAGAAATAATTTTTTTAATAAATGTTAGAGAAGATTTGATTATTTCTGCAAGTCCCACCCAGAATGTTACCTTGGCACCGGGACAAATGCTTTTTCTTCTGCTGCTTCTTCCAGTGGCCTAGTATACGATGATGGAAACCATCCTTTTCTGTAATGGGAAAGCTTTTCAGTTTCATATTATATAAAATTGGAAAGATCTTTCAAAAGACAACAGTGGGAAAAAACAGTAGAGTCAATGAACTGAGATTCAGCTTTTAAAGACCCAATTTCTGATGATACCAAACTAGTGTACAAAATCTCCCTAAAATAACTGCAGTGATTCACCTTATAGAAAGGCTCCAAGTCCCCAGTCAATGACAGCCAGCGAAAAAGGGGGAAAACCATTTACTAATATCTGCTAACAAAATCTGAGACGCGTTTTCCTTCATATTCAAATTGGGTAATAAATTGATTATCTTACACTTTAGTTGAGTCATGTTCCCCGTAAAGCCAGCCATCCTTTTCTTCAGCAACAAGAAGTGTGATGATATCCCCCTGTGCAAAGCTAAGCAATGTCTTGTTACTTCCAGCAGTATGTGGGAAGATGGTCTTTACTTTTTGCCTTTTCATTATATTTAGTCCCGTGGCAACAGACGTTGAACGCGATAAACTGGCATCATCTGAATTCTCTGTCAAAAAAAAAAAAAACAAAGCAAAAAAGAGCAAAATTAGCCTCACACTAACAAAATTAAATACAATTAGTAGTCTGACAGAAAAAAAGTACAGTGCAAATCAAGTTCTGAGACTTTGTACTGCTTTGGTTTCCACTTAGACACCTCTCAATTATCTGCCAATGTTTCTTATCACCGTGAAGTGCATTTATATACAAACACACCCCCATCACAATAAAGTTGAACCAACAGACATAAAAAGTCACGTTAAGTTTTAACTTGCTACTACTTTCCTCTTTTGGCGTGAAAAATGCTAAACATTTACAGCCATAGAAGACCTTTGAAAATTTCCCTTCTAAAAAAATGTAACTGCATATGAAGTCCAAGATTTCATTTTCAAGCATGCCTAGCACTCAACTTCAACTGAACTGATGACAGTTGCAGGTACTTGGCACTTTGCAGACACCAGATGTTTACCAGAAGACAACTTAAAGGAGGTCTCAAAATTGTACATTACTTGACTAGTACACTATTGTTAACGAATTTTTAAGGAAGAAATGCTGGAATTGCTATTATCACATTGAAGAGTTCTGCATTTCTTATTTTGTGATCTAGGCTTAGTTCTTTCCCTTCCTTCCCTATAGCAGAGGAAGTAAAAAAAGGAATATTAGAAACTTAGAAAGCGAATCTTAATAGGACTTTACATTTCAGGGAAAGAACTACAAGACTGTGCACATTTTGTCCCATGTGCATTCTTCCCTAACTGCTACATGCTCTTAAAGGTTAAAGGAAACCACAGCAAGATTGTAACAGTAGTTTATGTTTATTTGTGTGCACTGAAATAATCACTTAGATTTACCTTGTTCAAAATTATAGACTGTATTCTTCTGATAAGACTGGAAGTCATAGAAGCAGTTAGGCTGGGTTAATCAGGGTCACACAGAAAGTGATTAAAATAGAATCTACCTATCTTGACCTGTATTTTATTGCAAACAATTCTTCTCTTCTTGTAACACATACTTCTTCTGTTAGTTAACTTCTATAAATACTTTTGTAAAGACCATTTTCTACTCCGCTGTCCATCCTGGAAGTGACATCATCATGGCAGTCAAGAAGTCCTAAGATAATTTTGAACACTATAGTATGTCATTTACACTTTCATGGTTTGCAACAGTGACACTCACCTGCTGAATTATTTATTTTTTCAGAAGATGTCTTTGGAACCGTTGCAGGATTGTTAAACATATCAACTAGTGGACTAGTGTACGCCCTACCTGTAGGAGCAGGGGGCACCTTTGACGCATTTTCATGATGAGGACAAAAATCATTTCCAATCTAGAGTCACAAGAACAACAGTATCACAATACTGAGGAGACAGTGACAACTTATTTGTGACATTAAATTCTAGAAAGCAATGCTTAAATATTCCCAAATGATACATATTTAGACCTGTCAGAAAGTCCTCATGTTCCTATGAAATTGCAGGCAGAATAGTTTGTAAGAGGCTTCTGTGCCTTGATAATCCTTTGTTAGGGGGAATGCTACGATAGTCCTTTTTTCCACAAATAGCACAGTTACACCTAGATAATATCTAGGGTTTTTTTTGTAGAAGTTTACTAAGATTATTTAGAAATTCAACAACTAATGGTGATACAACATACAAATAGAATTTAGAATTTAACTTGTACTATAATATGCTGACAAGAATCATGAAGGGAAGAAGGAAAAAGGAAAGAAAATAGAAAATAACATTTTGTTCAAGTTTATATTGAACTACTGAGTACATAATTACTGTTATTTACAGATAAGAACATAGGAAATGGAATGGTTAGAACCAAAGTAGTTCTGAGGCTGGGCTCTGCAGAAAAAGCCCTAGGCAGCCCACAGAACACAGCCTTGCCTGGATCTGTGCTTCTGCCTACTACACTGTGTGTCTTTCCAGTAGCAGAGCTTCAGCTTAATGATTTTGCTTTCATACTCAAACCCAGTATATTCCACAGAGGTACGTTATAGCCTTGATCCCGGATGCTTAGGTACAAAAGCAGCTAGTGAAGCCACCCTGCTCCTGTTAGAGAGAGAAAACCTTTAACCCTCAAAGAACAACATACCATGGTATTTCTCTCTATCATTGGTGAAGGCTGTGGAGTTCCCGATACTGGAGTGGAACCAGGTGTCCTTATTTCCTCTATCATCATTCTGACTTTTTCAGGCACTTTGGTGGCATCACTACAGATTTCCTGCCATCCAGGCAGCTTGGATTTTAGGAAGTCCGCACACTGCATCCAAGTTTAAAAGGTACTTGTCAAAGATAATGCTTTTTCATAAAATTGCACAGACCTACTTGTTAGTTTTGATTGTACCAAAATGAGAACACCAGCAAAACGGAAGCCTTTTTAAAGGCTTCCGTAATAGTGCTTTGAAACAAATAACATGTTGTAGAAAGAGATTGTTCTTTTTCAGGATCAGATACCGTAACTACCTGATCAGTCCACACATTTTTTCTTGATATATGATTTTAAAAAGTCACAGTAAGCCTTTATTGTTGCTATAATACGTTTAAGAGTATACTGTATTGTAAACATTTTCTAGGAACCGATCACCAACACTTGTTTGGCACTATGGTGTTCCCAAGCGCTATCTTAGCTATGTATGGCAGTCTGATCTACATACTGCAGGAGACACTGAAGATCTCCTATATAATGAGATTTCAGGAGTTTCATTTCTGTTTACACTCATGTCACTGACCTGAATGTGATAGAATTGCATGTGCTGGGTAAAGCTGCAGTGCTTGTCAACCAGAAAACAGAACCTTCTTTTTTCTTCAAGGAGAGCTTCTCTGCAGCCTTCTGCAATAAATCTCTGAATATCACTCTGTCGAGAGCTCACAGTTTCCAAATACTAAGGGGAAAAAAAAAAGAAAAAAATCACAAACGGTCTCTGAGTTTTATCTGATGCTATATGCAATTACTGAATCAAACTCCAAAAACCTTAGAAAAACTTTTTGGAAAGGCAGGGTGGGGTAGGGTGGCTGTACTTCCAAGTCTTTCTCTTTTCATGCACACACCTACCTCCCTGTATCTCACCAGGTAAATGTATATTCTCATTACAGGCAATCTATAAACCACTTAGGGGGTGGAGGGAAGTGAAACAAAACAAGAAACAGTCTTTTAGCCTCTAAATAAAATGCTGCAGTAAATAAGAACATGACATTTAAGCAGCAACTGTGCTGAGCAATTTTAAGGCCACAGGTGTTCTAATTAGACTAATTACCTTCATCTGCTCCACAGCAGTTACATTTTCTCTCAAAGCTACAATGAATCCCTCATCCATTTTAGAGAGGGAGAAATAGTTACTAAAAAGACTAAATTTGTCTGAGGTTATGTGGATTCATGGCTAAACTGGGATTAAATGCTAATCCCTTGAATTCTCAGTCCAATACCTTAAAAAAAACCCAGCTGTTATGAATGGAGCTTAAAAAAAAGGTAGTAAGAAATAGGTGCTAGTACTATTTATGTGTACTGTACTTTGCTATAAACAAAGCTTTCTTTGAAAAGAAAATTAAAATAGAAAATATGGAGAAAAAATATATAAGCTACCACAAAATAAAAGTATTGTGCAAATAAAAACATCAACAGCAAGTATTTTCTGAGAGATAAATGACAACCAGAACATGACTTACTATTTAAAACAGTTTCTCTTCATTGCCTTGACATTTCTTATGTTGCCTCAAGATGGCGATGCTGTCTTACGAGCAGTAGGAAAGGCAAGACGTGACAACAGAAGTTGGCATGTGCATGCTTTGGTAAATTAATTTATAGCAAATTAATTTGCATAGCATAACTGACGCCCTGTGTAAACCTCTGCATAAAGGTGTAGTTACAGAAGTACTTTGAAAAAAAAATCGTGTATTAAGTAATGGTCAAGGGATGAAACCTAGAAACTGAAGCAGAAATCTGTATGTAGAGCAGAGCAGTCCAGAGCTTAGTTTCAACTGGAATACATACTCTAGGAGTGCCTTTAATATAAACCAGCTTTGAGGAACCAAAACTGTATGTTCTTTGGGATTATAGAGTTCAACTGTGGCCAAACAACTTACAGCGGGGTTACGTGTATTAACTAATAACACTTGCACACACAAAAGTGTGGTAAGCTTCAGAAGTCAAGTCTTAAAACAGACCCAGATGTGACCTGTAACAGCTTAATTTTTTTTGTTAACCAGTTCTCATACAAAGGAAGAAAACAAATAACTTAAGAGACAGTACACTGACCTCCATTTCTTTATGCTCATATTTCATTACATTTCGTGCTCCTTGGCTTTTCCTTCTGATTTTTTTCAGCTCAGCCTGAGACTTCTCTAAAGAATCTAATTTGCTTCTGTGTTCAGTTTGGTACCTCTTTAAAGTTGCCTACAATCAAAGCAGTTAAAACATCTCATAATGCATTCAGCCATGTAACTGGGTAAGTGACTAAAAAAACATTACTGTAATCTATGAGATATTGCTAATGCACATCAAATGAGTTAGGCAGTTACCTTTCTCCACTTTAGTTTAAAAATGCTATTAAGTCATACATTGGTTCCTTTTTTAACCCAAAAGCAGCATAAAAATTTTTGCCATGTTTATGTACCTAAAGCTCAATTAATTAACTGTTAGGAAACCATTTCTGAAAAATTCTTTGACTAGAAATCGATAAATAGAATATGACTTTTAGAATTGAATGTACTTACATTCATGTATTTTACATCCAGGTCTGTTTTCTTCTCCAGTTCAGATATAATATCTTTATGAAACTTTTTGAACTTTAAAAGCAAATGAATGAAGGGTTATTAAAAATTGGCAAAAAGTAATTTACAATTTTGAAAGGAAAATAAATTAGACTTGTTTTAACTTACACTCTCCTCTAGACTGTCATTAAGTTTCTTGTGTGTTCTTGAAATTTCTACAAGAACTTGGCCTGTTGATAAACATAAAACCGTATTTGTTTCTTTCATAGAGTTCTGAAGTTAGTTAACAAAGAGCAATAATAAAATATATTTAACTAGTGTATTTATTAGCTAGAATATATTTAAAAGGGATAGGAAATTTCTTGCTGTTGCTTATCACAGCAGTTTAAATAGCTAACTAGATCTGGCCACAGAGACACAAAGCAGTTCATAAGAGATAGGAGGATAATTAATCATACATTATGATGCAAAAGGGACATGGAGTGCCAGACAAAATAAATACTTCCTTCTCTCCAGAACAGCTCATACTGATTTAGTAGCAGCCTCTTTTCTGGCCAAGTCAGAGAATAGCACATGAGAACTAGAGGTAGTTACTATCCAAATAGCTGCTATCCATTTTTTAGTCTGAAAATTAAACTTTAATGTTTATTAACTAACTGCACCTTCAGAATTAACAAAGTAAACCTTTCACATTCATTCACAGCACACCTGCTAAACAGATCTGATACATATGCTGATTAATTTCCCACGCTGTTCCATCAGTGATTACAGCCTGACTGTACAGCATTAACTAACAGCCAAGAAGCAGCAGATTTCTCAGCATCCTCTCAACAGTTCCCAAATACACCTATTACGCTCCGCTGTTTTCCAGCACAGAGATATACAGCTTACTTTTAACCACGAGCAGTTAAAAGCTGGACTGTTTCATTTTGCTTTAGGAGGGCATGGAGGAAAAATACCTCAATCCTTTGGGTGTGGTTCTATGTGAAAACCAGTGTAAACCATGCCTGCTGCAGTCCTGCCCCGTACGCAGCCAGCCACATCATCCCGTTCTGGATACGGATGGCCACATCATCCCCACTCCCTTCTTTGTGCTGGCACCATCACACTGAGCGTGTGCCAGTCTTGTCTGGGAGATTGCAACATACTGCTGAGAAGGGTAGTTGGAACTGTCCTGAAGTGCCCAGTTTGACTTCACCCAAATTAGACCTGTAGATAGTTACCAGGTCTCAACCAGGAGCCATTAAAAAGCACTGAAAAGTGCCAGGGCTGCCATCAGATTCCCAAAAACTGTGTCAGACCTGAAAGCCTTGACTGTCATTCCATTTCCACGGCAAGAACGGCAAGTTCAGTTCCACAGCTGGTTCACTGGCATGCCTCCTCCAGCAATCTATTTATTCCTCGATCAGCCTTGCAGTTATTCCACTGGGAAGTATTTTCCATGCAGGTGCTTGCAGTATTCGACCTGCAATAGCGCTGTCCTAATGTACAGGCAGGCCTTGCAAAGCTACACACAATTCTGTAGTTCTGATTGCGTATCACTGGTAGAGTCACTGCACAGGACTCCTCTGTGTGTCCCCTCCTATTTGTTATCTTATGCAATTCTCAGTTTTCTTTTTCCAAAGAAAAAAGATGCATCAACAGTTCAGCACGCTGCTTTACAAATCTTGTCTTCTACCACCCATATTCTTTGAGAAACACTCCTGAGTTAGTGAGCAAAGACTTATCAACCTATAATGCTTCAGATCCTTCAGGTGCACACAAAAGCTCCCAAAAGCTGCAGATAATAATAAAAAAATTGACAGGACTTTTCATGAGATCTGAGCAACCTGATCTAGTTGAAGCAGTCCCTGCTCATTGCCGGGGGGTTGGACTAGATGACGTTTAAAAGGTCCCTTCCAACCCAAACCACACTATTCTATCTTCTCCTTCCTCAACATCTCCCCAGCCTTCAAAACCCATCTCCCCACAGTGAATGTTAGTGGTTTAGGAACCTTCCCCTATAACATAGATGCATTTCTGTAGTGCCTGGGTATGTATTATCACCGTTCTCCCTTCTTATCTGAAGATACCTGCCTCTTCATGCCCCAGTCCCCACCTCTACATCTCTTTGCACAACAGGCTACAGGAGACTTGGAAGAAGGAATCAGAATACGAGAACAATCAAACCCTTGATTAGCAAGAAAAAGGAATTCACACTCAAGACAGTAGATGGGAGAGACAGTGGTGATGTAATTTATATATATTGCTATTGAGACCTTCTGTACAGCCTACAGAGTGCTATGCTTTTTTGTTTGTATTTAAAGTTGCTGGTGACTACAGAAACATAAATACTATGAGAAACGAGAGGTGCTATAGTAATTAGTTACTCATATGCAATAGAAAAGTAAATACAATGCAGTTACATAAACACTTGAAGTAAGGATATGAGTAAGCCACCTTGTTATTTTAAGGCTTTAGAAGTGAATGCACTTTAATCCACAGTGTTTCTGTTTCACTGAACTCAACTGAAAAGACACATTTTAGACCGTAACAGGCTTTTAAAATCAGAAGAGTTTTGTAAACACTTATCTACAACTTCAAAAGGAAAATGCTGTTAAAAGCAATCAGGAAAAAAAATTCAGGAAATACAAATAAAATTGCAAAGTTTGTTTGGTTTTAAATATGCAGACTATGTGGGAAGTTACAGAAATTCAGGATGAAGTGTTGAAATGGCCCTCAAAATAGTTGCCCTTATAAATTTTTGTTCTTTTTAAAATGAACTTATTCTCCCTCTTTGTAAAAAGTATGTTCTGAGAATCTGCTGCCAAAGCAGCACACTTAGCTAATACTTGGCAACGCTAATGCAGCCAACCCTGGCGTTCCAAGTACTGACAGACATCCAACAACGTCGGGTATTGACTCAGCTCTCGCATCGCGCTCTCACACTCCCTTCCTCTGGCCTGCCCTGCCACCACAGTGTAAACGCTCCATAAAACAACCCATTCACCTGGTGCGTCAAGAATGGAAAACCTGATGCTCAGAGGTTGTTATTTTTGTCTCGCACTGCACTTGAACTGACTGCAGCCTTCGAGTCTTTCGGCTTTGAATGCTCGGTTAGAAAGAGGTTTTCATCTTTATTACAAAGAATACTGCCAAAACATGTCCTGAAATGAAGAGAACTTTAAAAATGACACTTCCTTCTAAATGGTTTGTGCTGGATTATTTTACGAGTTTATTTTAGAGTGTTCTAGAAGACTTTTAAAGAGTATTTTTAGATGTCGGTGACTGTATCGCTAATAGCATTTTCTTTTTCTCTCAACTAAAGACTCCCTGTATGCTGTGCATCAAGCAGAAAAGCCATTTTATGCTGGAATCTCCTTTCTGCCACCAGTAATCCACAGGCACTGTATGTACTGGCTCACCCATTTGGTTTCCTCTTTCATGTTTTGAATCAACATTTTGAAAAGAACTTTGAAAAGTAAGCACACTCTGACCTATTAAGATTTAAATTATAGTTCAAATTTTATGCCAGATTCTGCACTTCAAATAAACAGATAACACTTTTACAGTGAACATATACCATGTTTTTTCACAGCCAGTTTAAGATAACAGGTTAGCCACATTTTGATGGCCCTCCCAAATAAGATTTATACAAGGAAAGGCAAAACAACCCCTAGCCCACATACAACAGTGTCCAAGTGGAATGGAAATTGAACAACTTCAATACAATATTTTGATTTTAATTACAATGGTGAATTATGGAATAGCTCTAATAAAGACAATGGGTTACTCTGGATTAATAACAGCATAACTTAAGGCCAAGCTCTAATGTTCAGTAATCATTCATCTCGTAAAAAGGTACGGAAGTCTACTTAAGGTGAAGACAAACATGTATTTCTCACAGCAACTAAAAATATTTGCTATGTATTAAAGCTGCTCAAGATCAGGTTTTATATACAAGAGCTCATAATACACAATAACCAAATATTAACCTTGTCATCATTTACTGGCAAACCCCACACCTATCAAACATAACGACATGACCAGAGTGCATGGTAACAGACCACTTATGCCCAATTTGTGGCAGACATACCGTTAACTTGAACCAGTTTTAAGCATCATATTATGCAATGAATTAATAAACCAAACCCACCGGTCTTGATGATATACATAACTATGAAAATACTTGCCTTTCAAAGATACTTTTTGCTGCTTTCCATTCCCCCACGCCCTGAACATGAAATCTTTGTGACTAAAAGAGTAGAGGTAACATTAAATATTCCTACTACAGGGAAGAGAAGAAACAATCTCTTTCAGATAGGGTTTTGGGGGGAGCATCTCAAATACCTTAAATAAAACAAACACTTCTCATGTATGGTTCTTGAAACCATGCTGCATAATACAGCTATAATCTGAAATATGACCATGAAGAGTAATGCCAAGTTCCATGGTAAATTTAGTTTAATTTCAAGTAGGTTCAATGCACAGGTAGAAAGATCTTTTAAGCTGAAACTTCAGGAACTTGTGGAATATTTTTAGCCTTAACCAAGGCTGTTAGTTGTATCTATATTTTCTATTGAGAAAATAAGACAGAGTAGAATTCCATTAATGCTGTTAGTTTTGTTACCAAAAAAAATCACTAACCCAAAAAGCCTAACAATTATTTCTCCCTACACAGCATCCCATGAGGAAGCCAACAACCTTAAAAGACTGTCCCCACAGTAGACAAAAAAACAAGGAAAGCAATTTCTAACAGAAATACTCATTGTAAGGCCAGAATACAGAACTTCTGCAGCAGTTGCACTTCAACCTCACTGTTTGCACTGGGTGATAGTACAGGCTATTTATCTTTTTAGCTTATGCTGAATGTTCTTACAAATAGAAGACTAGAAGAGTTACTTCAAGTTAGAAACAAAAATGGAACTCAATCAGTAGAGTTCTGTCATAGAAACAAATATTAACAGCTACCAACAAAATCAGTTAAAGCTTTAAAATACCAAATAGCTATATTAGAATCAATAAAAGTATTAATTGCATCACCTTACTTGAAATATACTTCAATTTTGTTTTATTTAGAGGATGTTGCTCTTGAAAAATTTCAGGTTTCTTAACAGAAAGACTTTCTTAGCTGTCTGGGAACACACAAAGTGCTTAATTACATCACTCATCTCCTATTGCCCTATTTTGCATTCAGGGCAGGTCTAGTAACTTCATGTCTCACAGATGAAACCACATAGTTATTTACATT